CATAAAACGATACTGAACTGTAGCATTGTGGAACTATTAGGTATAAAAACCGCCCCATCATTTGTTATTGTTTCTGATGCTCCAGCTGAGTTTACTGTACTTCCAGTTTCATCACTAACACAAGCAATTATTGGATCTCCAGCTTATTGAGGAGAAGCGAAATCAGGCTGAAACCAATATATTCTCAGTTTGACAAATGCCGACTTTAGTGTCTCTCAAAAGCAGTCATTTCACATAACAAAGAAGAAGCAAAAGGATTATTGGGCTTCACATTAGAGCAGACTGGCTGCAGTTTCTTTTTGTAAGTCTTTGTCAAGTTATTTTTAGGTTAAAATACCTGATTAAGGCACAATAAGCTTATACGACTCACTAGAAGGAAGCCAAAAGATTTAAAAAAGAAAATGATAGTCAGTCATTTTTTGTCAACGACCTGCGAAGGTTTCTGTACACAGAGAAAATACGAGCACATTTTACACACCTTTACCTCTTTCTGTTTGATGTTTGCTTCTGAGCAATCTCACCCTTTCTTCCAAGTGAAAACTCACACAAACACGGATGTTTTCCTCACAAAAAAAACCACTCTTCAAAAGCACTTCTTTGTCTTCTAATGTGCTTTTTTTTTTTTTTTTTTTTAAATCAGATTTAGGTGGATGTGTATAACTTTATGTACAGGCGTCTGCTGGTTACTGTATGTGTGTTTTGTTTTTCTAAACTAAAAACCAGAAAAGATGTAATGATAGGGTATATTTAAAAAAATAATAATTTATGTAGCTTCATTGGTGGTGATGACTGAGAAAAATGAAAAAGAACATTCTTCTTTTAGAAAACATGCAACTTTCTTGATGTTTCTTCTGTCACTAATTATACTGTTTACTTTGTGTACAGAGATAATGTGATTATATTCATATAGTTTTTATTTGAATTTCCCACCCACATTCTTGAGCAGCAGTTTTTGAGAATACTAGATGTGACGAGGAAAGCTTTCTTTGTCTCTGTATGATTAATTTAATGGGTCCCTGCTGAGTCAGATAAAGTTAGACAAAAGATGCACAAAATCACAGTTAAGGCCTTGATCACTGTCCTATAAACAATTTGCCACTTGTTCAGGGGAAAAGCAGCAATGCAGTCATTTATATTCAAAAATGTTACATATTGGGGTTCTATATTTGCATTATTTTACTCCAGTTACCCTCCAACGGCAGTTTTGTTTCATAATTCAATACAGAAGCATTAAGATGCAAATCTACAAGGGGTAAAAAACAATGAACGTGAACAACTAGATGCTATTTTGTCCCACAAAATGCCCAAATCACAAATGTAATGTGGAAAAAATCTTTTTTATCCAACACGAAATCCTTTCTTTCACCTCTGGGAGCAACTTAACCTCCCAAAAGTCACCAGGCTAGTTTTAGCAACATGCTAAGTAAGTAAATTTTTTGAAACTAGACTTTCAAGTGAAGTCTCATAAATGCATTTTGGCATTGGAGTTCTTTTGTTAGAAGCCATATGGGTTTGCCGAACAGCAAATTTCATGAGAAGTGTTGGGTGTCACATCCATACACTATTATCTGTTTTGCACCGTTACTGTTGAAGAACAAACATCTCACACTGTTGAACTGTTCATACACGTTGCCATGTTTATATAATACACACAATTGTAGCACGTCTGTGTTCAGCTTCTTCATCACACAACCACAGGAACTTCATGTATGCTAATCTTATTTGCTTGTGCTATATTAGCATATTTATGCTAACATGTTTGCATATGATATGCAGAAGCCCTCACCACACAAGCTATATTAGCATATTATTTAGAATAATAATGCTAATACAACATTAATGCTATATTGGTACATCAATGCTAATTGTGTGACGGGGTTTTCTGCATATTTGAATTTAGCCTCTGCAAGTTGTCATCGCTCACAGCTAAGCTGAGCTAAATTTGTTTGACCTAGTTTAGTGTTGTCATCGCTAATAGCTGTAGTTTATTATTAATTTTAACTAGCAAGCTAACGTCAAAGTGGAGCACGTGAGAAAGCTTTGAAATGTGAAATAAAATCACCTCTACACTATTTTATTTACTTTGTTTGTTCAACGAGTAAATAGAAGGAATTAAATTAATGCTAATGTTACGTGCTAATGTTATATTGGGCTATTATTGCCAATATAGCTTGTATGATTGATGTGTCATCTCTCACTGCTGACTCGAGCTAACTTTGTGTCCTCTGGCTTAGCGTTCAAGTACAAAAAACTTAAGAAATGTGGAATCAAAAGTTTTTATTTCTAAATGGTCAAAAAAAAAAATGCTCATAAGTTGTGTGGTTTTCTACCTCCTTGTTGTGTGCTCATCCTCAATGAGAAAGCCATGAACAGAAATTAAAGGTAATGGAGGTTCCAAAATAAAACACAACAATTCTTCATTTCCTTTCAGTTACAGTAGTTTTGTTTTGCTGTAATTGGCAAGCACAGATACAATCAGTACATTCAAGCCAGGAAATGTTAAGTCATAGAGTAAATATCAGGCAGGAATGCCGCCAGGAAACATTTACGGATCATACTCGGTAGCGCTTTAACAGATAATTTCTGTTTGATACAAGGACCATTTATTTAATAACAGTTTTGTATAATCTTGAAGGCAACTTTAATCTGATGTGCAACAATGGTCTTGGCGCTGGTGTGGACGAGTCTAGACATCTGGGCAAGTAGAGCTGCAGACTGCTGCACAATGAGCATGCTATATATCACAGAGTTTGTGAACATGTCATAGAAAAATTGGGGCCAGACATCCAGACGTGAGCAGATGCATTCAGCAGACCCAGCAAGGTCTGTTTCAGTCATTTCCTTCGCAGGGTAAGTTTACCTCATGTGAGCAGTGTAGTACGGCTGTGTTTGTGCTGGAGGCTGAGGCAACAGAGCAGGGGCAGCTGAAGGGCGGACAGGTCAGCATCTACAGAGCAGTGGCATTTCTCTAATTGGCACTTGTTACAGCGAGAATGAGTCAGAGCGTTATTGTTCGTGCTTGACGTAATCTTTGACGACACCGACACCCTCTCCACAAATGTGACAGTTTCAAATTTGCTATTATTCACACAGTCGTTTAAATTGTGAAATTCCTCTCAAGACTGATAACATTATTTATAGGTTTGATTTAAGTGTACAATTTGAAACAAGTGGTTGAATAATGACATAGTTTCTGTTCCTTCTTTTGCAAAACGTGCTTTATGATGGTCATATATTTCTCTGACAGTGTGCTGTGTTTTCATAGTAGATGAAACCTGTTAAATCAATTGCCTCAGTTTATGGACTGTTTCAAGACCTTTTGACTTTGCCTAATATTGTAACGTTTCTTGATATGATCTCGTATCCCTTCCAAATGTTATGATAGCACTGAATTTCCAATTTTTTATTGAACATTTTGTATTTGTAATAATAGAAATGTTTGAGAAAATGGTAGTTCAGACAAATTTCTATTTTGAGTTCCTTTTAGATTCTAGATCATTATCAAGATTTGAAATCTGAGTGACCCAGTGTGTAATAAAGTAAACTGAACAACATTCTTCTGTTTTAACAAGTCTGAAAATCAACATCAGAAAATTACTTCCTTTTTTTTTTTTTCCTCCCATGGGACGTGATGTGTTATCGGTTCTGTGACATGGTTTTCTTTCTTTGATTAAAAGACTCATGCAAAATGCTCTCTGGCCTGCGGGTTTTGTGCCATGACACACCATTTATTGACATCCAGTGCCTTAACAAGCAGGAACAGGAACAAAGAACAAGAGGTTTCGTCTGAATCCAGTGGTCAGATTAAATGAGGAGACCTAACAGCCTCTAACAAACTGAATGACATTTTCATGTATTTTTCTTGTTTTGTTTTGGTATGTTACACACATACCAAAATTAATAAATAATAGTTCAGAGGCTGATTTATTTGCTTAAAAACGTTTGATATTATGACTGATCTTTGTTGAGTTGCAGTTTTTCAGTGAAAGCTACTAAAACACTTCCTACCTTATGCATAGTACCGTCACATCCTGCAGGAAAATCATGGGTTTATGCATAAAACCCAAAAAGAAAAGTGGCTTTCAGCTGCTCCTTTCACTGCATCAGCATCTGCGAGAGTTACAGGTGAATAATATGAGAGAACAGCGTGTCACAACCTAAAAGGGGTAATGTCATCTCTGCCTTCTTCTAGCAATGCAATGAGGAGAAATGGCCTCATATAACATACTGCAGCATATTTGCCTGCTGTGTTGATTTCTTGCTATTCTTCTTCTTCTTGCTAGGAACAATCAGAGAAGCTCAGAGGCTTCTCAGTGCTTGCAGAGCATAAATGTCACACATTTTTAGTGTGTTTGAGTTGGATGATCAGATTCAGGTTAGAGACAAACAATAGCACAGAGCATTTTGAATGAAAGGAGGGAACATGTCAAACTGGGGTGTAATAGTAGAGGTATTTGTACCTAACTTTTTTGCTGTAGGCCTTCTGATACTAAACGTATACAAACCTCATCTTGAAACCCCCTATAGCTTTCCTAGAATGCAGACCTTCCAATATTATTAAAGTCTGCTGTGTGGAAACACTAAAGTGTCTGTAAAAAAAAATAAAATTAAGTGAAAATGTGGAAGCAAAGATGCCAAAAAAAGAAGAAAAGTTAATCAATGGTAGAGTAGTGTGATGTTCAAAAAACTGTGTAAAAAAACAGCAAATGTCCTAAAAAATTATTAATTTTAATAAAAATAATTTTAATTATAATAAACCTCATAAGAACAAAATTCTGTATATTTATTTTGTAATGCATTTTTTTTTCTCAGTCAATGTGTAAATCATATTTTTCTGTGACTTCACTTTATATTTTCTGTAATTTACGAAGAACGGTAAAATCTTTAAAATAACTGTTAAAAATATTTACCATTTTTCAGTCCCTTTTGGCAAATGGCAAATATCTGCTTTTATATATGTAGTCAAACATTGCAAAAGAGCAAATTATCACTTGTAAAGATACAGATTTATAAAGTTTTCTTTATTTACAGTTTCGACCTTTTTGATATTGTTAACATGTAATTGAATACTTTTGTTTGTGGTTTTACTAGTTATTTTCTGTAACTGAACAAGACAGGGAAAATTTGTAAAACACCGGAAAATTTTCAAAAAAGTTACTGTTAAAAACTTATTTGAAACTTTTTTTGCAGTGTAGTTTGTTCACAATGAACGTCTAAAGAAAGGTATGTTATATTGGTAACCATTGCACACTTCTGTTCAGTGAAACAAATAGCTCAAAGTCAGGCCGGGTATCATGAGACCAAGTTAAAGGTGGACAACACGTACAGATTCACTGTTTTTTCTTCTTTCTTTTTTTTTTTAAATCCATGCCTTTCAAAACACTTCTTAGCTGTCAAGCCAGGAGTTTCCTCTTCATGGTCAGTCTGTAAATGATTTGGTAGCCATCATCCCAGCCATAAAGCTGCTTTTCCTCGGGGTTGTATTTCAGGCTGGTGTGGGCTCCGTACCTCCTGGGGAAGTAGAGCAGTGGAGCCTCCTCGCTGATCACCATGTCGTTGACGTCAAACACACACTGAACCCGGGAGCGACTGGCCAGACGGGTGTTATAAACCACATATACGGTCCCGCACACTACAAAAGCCGCCTCCGCATTCTCCCGTGGGCACCTGGTGTCCCAGATTTGCTCTATATCGAGCGTGGCAGCGTCCATCTTTGCGAGGCTGATGTTTGGTTCACTGTCACTGGGGGCGTACAGGAGCCAGAGACCCTCATCATCTGCTGCGAGGTCTGCAACGGTCTCTGGGTTGAGGTTGTAAACTGTAGCGTGGCTCTCCACAGGGAACATGGCAGTGTCCGTTACCAAGCCGGTCAGCAGGTCATATCTGACCACCTGAACGTCCATATCAGAGTCCTGCTTTATGTAGTACAAATAGCCGTTATAAACAGCACTGCCTGGACCGCTCCAGTCTGAGGGAAGCCTGATGTTTCTGCTGCCGGTGACCCCCAAGGAGCGAGAAAAATCCCGCACAGAGTCGAACTGGTAGATAGTGTCTCCGGATGTCCCGTTAAAGACGTAAACTTTGGACGACCTGGGGTCTCTGGTCCACATACCCTTAGGACTGCCCACTCTTTTCAGGATCTTCACTGATCTGATGCCAGAGATGATTTCCACACAGTCTGCAGCGAGAGACAAAAACCCAGATTGTTTTTCAGCTGACAGAAACAACCCTGAAAGAATAAGTTCACAGTGACCCAAGTGTTGCTGCACTAAGCCTTCCTTTCTTACCTGAAACATCACAGAGTTTTGAAACGGTGGGAGCTGGTCACTATATGTGTATTGTTTATTTTAGGGGGGAAAAAAGAGAAAGAAATGCTGGAAAATCTTGATTAAAATTCATACATGGAACTTAGGCTAATTAGTTTCATATTTAATTGGCCAATCCATCCATATTTCTGCTGGTCCAGATTAATTTATTAGGAATTATGTGATTATTAGGAATGTAATAAAACCATAGACATAATCAGAGCCCAAGTTGGTGTCACCAAATATCTTGTGCCTGACAAAAAGTCCAAAGAATACCAAAACTATGAAAAAAACACAGGAACACCAATTTTGTGTTTCCATTTCACATTCATAAGCTACATTTGCCAGTGTTTAAATGCAACTAGCCAGCTGAACCTTCAGAAATCCTGTTAAAGCCAGTTAAATGAAGGCATCATTTATTTGCCTGGCTGGTTATCGTAGGTAATATTTTTACATCCGAAAGCTGCACCTCAGATTACCATCTATGAATCGTGAACAGCCACAGTTATTTTAGGAATGTTACACATATGCAAAGTAATTTAAGTTTCTATCTCTTGTCACATTTAGTGTTTTCTGGAAAAAGTGAAAAGTGCTCAGCTGAACTGTACAGTATTCGCAGCCTTCGGAAAACATCAAGCATCCATTAATGCTTGGCTCTTCAAATTAGGGCAAATTCAAACCAGTCAAGGGGAAATTGGACACAGACTAATAATGAGAGGAAGTACGACTGCAGCACACAGTCAGCATGAAGATGCAGTCTGTGGAGGAAGTCGGACTAATACCATGTTTTCTCCCCCACTCTGATGTATCCAGGAGCTAGATTTGCATTATGCTCACTGATCTGAACTGGGTCCCTACAATGCAGTAAAGTTCATTCTGGGTCACTTCACAGACCTTCACAATGGATCGCTTTGTGCAGAAGTCACTCCTGCGAACATGAGCTTGGAGAGTAACGTCGCTGACCTCAGGCCAGTTTCCTGTCCCTCCTTCATGCACAGACACAGACTGCACACCAAAACTAACAGTGAAAGGCTGTTTTCTGCATTGTAGCATCACTGGCTTTGTATTTAACAGACCTGACTGTGTTGTGTATTCTGATTCCGAGTGCAGGCTTTATGATATCACACCATAAATCTTGAATTTATGTGGTATTGACTGCCCTAATAAGTCAGCCAGTACAATAAAGAAATCGATATTTTTTCATTTGCGTTGTAAGAAGAGTAAATGGTACCAAAGGAATTTAATGGTCCATCAGTGGGGATTTAAATTGTGGAAACATTAACAACAAGTGAAAAAAATTATAGATCTTTTTCCTAATGTGCCACATTCAGAGAAATCTGCCAATACACAGTCAGGAATTAAAATCTGATTTCACTGCTTTCAGCATCAGGCTTTAAACGGGTTCTAAGTGCCTGTATTACCTGAGTAAATGACTCAGAGCAGCAGCTGTAACTCAGCATCGTTTGTAGCAGCACGCCTTGGGATGTGAAGATTATAATGACAAACGCTGTGCTCGAACAGCACAAACACGGGAGCAGCTCTGCAGAAATAAATGAGTTGCATGAAACCACATCTCTGCTGGAAAACATGACTGCACACTCAGTCAACGCGCTCCGCTAAATGACTTGTAACAGCACTGTGTTTGTTTCCCATTTTCCAGTGGCACAGCTTTTCCAACAGAGCAACTCCGCAAAAGGAGTGTTATAATGCCTGGTGGGTGTGTAATGCTTACTACACAGGCCATACATCCTATAAATTATGACTGTGCCAGGCCACATACTTTTCCTTCTTACTTTAAGTACGTACTAAAACTGCCCTCACAAAGTACGGACTGTTTCATGCAGCATGCATGTAAATGGGGCACACTGCTACATTATAATATTGCGCCTTAGCATTTGAGCATTGCAGTCTGGATTGCAAAATGACCTGTTATCCATCTGTGTGCGCTCAGTGGTTCAAGCTTGTTTAAACTCACGCGAGACACTGTGACGTAACGGCTCAGAGGATTGTGGGGCAGAAAAGCACACTGGCTTACCTACAGAATTATTCTATCTCATGTTATCATGGGCCATCTCTGATTTGATTAAACTTTTTTTCATAAACCGTTGCTGTTGTAGGGCTACAAGGTGGCTCAGTGGTTAGCACGGTCACCTCGCAGCTAGAAGATCGTGTCCCAGTTAGGATGCTCGGGCTCTTTCTGCGTGGAGTTTGCATGTTCTTCCCGTGCAGTGTGGGTTCTCTCCGGGTTCTCTGGCTTCCTCCCACAAGGTCCAAAGACATTTTGTGGTTAATTGGTGATTCTAAATTGTTCGTCGGTGTGAATATGAGTGTGCTTGGTTGTCTGTCTCTCTGTGTAGCCCTGTGATAGACTGGTGACCCCTGCCTTCACCCTGAGCCAGCTGGGATAGACTCCAGCCCCTCATGACCCTAGTGAGGATTAAGCGATGTATAGATAATGGATGGATGGATGGATGGATGGATGTTTAAAGTGGCATCTGTGAAATCTTAGCTTATGATATCAAATACTATATGCACACATGGACAAAATTGTTGGTATCCCTTGGTTAATGAAAGAAAAACCCACAGTCACAGAAATAACTTCTGACAAAAGTAATAATAAATAAGAATTCAATGAAAATGAACCAATGAAAATCAGACATTGCTTTTGAACTGTGGTTTAACAGAATTATTATAAAAAATAAAATAAAAAAAAACTCATGAAACAGGCCTGGACAAGAATCATGGTACCCCTTGAAAAGACTGAAAATAATGTGACCATAGGGACATGTTCAATCAAGGTGTGTCCTCTCATTAGCATCACAGGTGTCTACAAACTTCTAATCAGTCAGTCGGCCTATTTATAGGGTTACAAGTAGCCACTGTGCTGTTTGGTGACATGGTACCACACAAAACATGGAGCAGAGGAAGCGAAGGAGAGAGTTTTCTCAGGAGATCAGAAAGAAAATGATAGAGAAGCATGTTAAAGGTAAAGGCTATGAGACTATCTCTAAGCAGCTTGATGTTCCTGTGACTACAGCTGCACATATTATTCAGAAATTTAAGATAAATGGGACTGTAGCCAACCTCCCTGGACGTGACCGCAGGAGGAACATTGATGACAAATCGAAGAGACGGATAATACGAATGGTAACAAAAGAGCCCAGAACAACCTCTAAAGACATTAAAGGTGAACTTCAAGGTCAAGGTACATCATTGTCAGATCGCACCATCCGTCGTTGTTTGAACCAAAGTGGACTACATGGGAGACGACCAAGGAGGACACCATTGCTGAAAGCAAATCATAAAAAAGCCAGACTGGAATTTGCCAAACTGCATGTTGACAAGCCACAAAGCTTCTGGGAGAATGTCCTTTGGACAGACGAGACAAAACTGGAACGTTTTGGCAAGGCACATCAGCTCTATGTTCACAGACACAAAAATGAAGCATATCAAGACAAGAACACTGTCCCTACTGTGAAACATGGAGGAGGCTCTGTTATGTTCTGGGGCTGCTTTGCTGCATCTGGCACA